GAACATAGATCTGGAAAAAACACAAAATTCTGATTCAAACAAAATTTTTATTATTTTCTACTGATTTTTTTAATCATTTGAAAAAACAACGACTGTTTTGTGTAATAACTTTCGATGCACTCATTATTATAGAAGAATAGATTTCTGATCATTTGTAAATGAATACTTGAAGAGCTGAAAACCGGCAAATCATTTTCGATTTTTGCATGTATTACTGTATATACTTTCTCGGCATCTAGATCCTCTGTATTATAGACCTCCTGGCTCCTTCTTTTGGAGAAAGCGTTTTCCCGAAATAAAAATTCTATTAAAATTCGACAGTCACATCTAGTAATTTTCAGCAAATCCCATAGGAATTTCTTTCAGATCTTCTATCTATCTCTGAACATCAACTAAGAATCTCCTGCATATTGACGAACTTCCTTGTAAAATACTCATGGTCTGAGATTCGCATGCTTTGGTTAGATGTATAGCTGATTATAAAATATCAACTGCGAACCGATGACTTTTGAGCTTATATTTTTCGACCTCAAAGCACCAGATGTGGGTGCTATCGAAATCACATAAGAACGTATCGGCCTATGTCGAATACCGAATAGATGTAGGATATTATTTGCATATATCTGTTGCATTATACGATTATCAATGTGTCAATATATCATTTGTGAGATATAAATACTTGAAAACTCGTAAAGAATTAAAGAGTTCTAGACTACTGATATTTTCTGCTATGCATTGATTCTTTGTATTAATTCAATTTTATTTCATACATCTCAAATGCTTTTCTCACAATTATCTTATTGATTCCTAATGGGACATAGTGATTTTCTTTTGTTCAAGATGAATTCTACTGAAAATTAAGCTCAATATATGAATTTCTTCGTTTGTAGAAATATCATTTTAATTCATAATGTGACATTATCTGTACCTAACTACAACAATAAGCTAAACGGATCAATTTATATAAACATATTTGACAAGCATTTATTTTTGTTAAATTTGCATCAGTAAACATTGAAGAAAAAACTTCTGTTGCATATTACGAAGTGATCAAACACCTGCTAGATTTTTTACGTAAATTGTTAAAACCTCAAATTGTCCTCAATCAATAGATCGATAGATATCCTATGAAAACAGTGACTAAAAACAAAGTGCACAATAACATGATAGAGAATATAAATTTCGACATTTGTTGCCTTTCCACAATGTAAGTTATGTCATTATATAAAACGAAAAACTTGGACAGGTAACAATATTTTTCATCACCGAAAAAAACCGCTGTTGATCATCATATTTTTCGAGCATTATCTTCATGTTATTTACAGTTCAACAGTGTGCGAGTGTACGATCTGCTTACCCATATGTGCAGTCGCCTAAGAACCTACACCCCAATATTCACTCAGACTCAGTCTCACACCCACATCAGAGCTTGCATTTATATTCATAACTGCATGTGCGCTCGCATCTACACCCGCTCTCAACATAATCATTAAGTGAAAAATCTGGTGATCAAAAGTGTTTTTTTTTTTCAACTTAAAACTAGTAAAATAGAATAGAACGAATAATAGAATTTATGTCGTCCATCCACTCTCAGGATCAACCATACAATGCAGCATACATCAAATAATTTCTTACAACAACTCGATTTAATCATGTTTGACGAGATACTACAATTCAAAATACAGAATAAATTGCACAGAATTTGTTATATGATTATTGTAATACCGTTTAGGTTTTTTTTATAATAATTATTACTTGAAGTAGAAGGCATATATTGGTATCGATACATATTACATGAAAATTTAAGATAGATTTTCTTGCAATATTCTGTTGTTTATGGTTTTTATTTTTACTATAATATTTGATTGTTCATGCGACTATATAAGGAAAACATCTATGCCAAGATTTGCGTGTATGAACTGAGACAAGATTCAGACCCACACTCACATCTAGCCACGCCCTCGAGGTCGCGTGGAAGCTATATCAGAAATGAGACGTGTGCAAAGCGACTTTACTATCGCCACTCAAAAAGTATTTTGACAAAGAAGTGACTTCCACTTCGCGGAGGTGGTACAAACCTATGGTTCGAATATTTTTATAACATATTTATCCAGCAAATAATAATCTGTAACATGCATCTTGTTTTACTCTCTTCAAACACAATACAGGAGTTATACTCATAACGGCTGTTTCATTTTAATTGTTCCTTTTTTTGTTTTCTTTATATCATTTACTTTATTCTGCTTCATCAACAACTAAAGTGATGCATTATGAGAATATTCATCTATTAATCTTTTCTTTTTTGTCTCTTATCTCTGATTGACGACCTTACACTATTTTAATGTTTTGGGGTCAGAAAAAGACAACATATACGCGCAATATTTTCATTGAATAAAGATATTAACCCTTAAAAGCCCGAGGGGGCTTTTATTTCAACACAAGGAAGACAACCATAAAAATAGAGCTGATGGACCCTCAGTATGCTCATACTATAGCTAAAACGAAGCACCTCGTTCTTCCTCTAGAGTTACACAATGTCCTTGAGTAGAAATCTTGGACCTTCCAAAAATCTGAACGAAAGGAATTTCGATCTGAGATTTTGCCCTTGATCAGTTTATATGATCCTTAAATTGTGCTAAAATTTTCAGTCAAAACGGATGTTTTGTTGTTGAGATATTGGACGCAGAAAAAAATCGGCAACATTTTTCAAAAAACTCACAAAATCTGGCTTCTCTTCAGCATGGCGTATTTCCAAGAGTAAACAACAGTTGTGGCTGAAAATTTTAGGGTAATCTAAATAGCATATCAACTATTTATGAGCAAAATTTCAAGTCAAAATCCCATTGCTTCGATTTTTTCTTGAGGCGGAATATCCTATAGAAGGAAGATTTTCTTTATGATAGTGTCCTGCGTTAGTGGAATGGTTTAAAATTTACGAGATAGTTTCATCAGATACCTTAACACTATCTTTAACAATATCACTTAAAAAACCAAAGCAGTACATCACTTATATGAATAAAAAAACTTGAGAAAAGAAAAGTGATGCTAAAAATATTACGAGTCGTAAAAGATTCATTCTTCCGCTTAAGAGTCACTTGAGTATTATATTTTCATCTCTGTGTGATTACTAAGGTCATGCCAATTCAGAAAAATGTTCGTTTTTGTATAGAAGCTCTTGTAGCGGAATTTATTGAAATTATACTAATGTCCCTTTGAAGGGACATTGGGCTCTTAAGCGTTAACAACAATCTTTGCCTGTTCTACTAGTAAATTAAATTACATTGTTCCATGAGGTGAATCTCAATCATATTTTTACAAATATCAAATTTATCTATCTGATAGGTGGCGCTCATATAGGTAAACAATATATCTAACCTGTATCTCACCAGTGTTTAGTTTTATCCTTGCAAAATGCTGATGCCCCATTTAAAAAACACAACAATTAATAGAAAATTTTTTTGTGACAAAATATCGTATGGCAACGTGGATTTTTAATTAGGAACATTATACTATATATTCGTAGATGAAGATGTGACGACAGAAGGCAAACAAAAACGATAATATATGCGTATTTATATCATAGAATCATGTTTGAATTATTTGTCTGATCCTGTAGACACCTATGCTTTGTTTGCAGCCTTGATTATATGAATTGCTCCCATTCACATGTTAGGAGGTTAGCAAAAGTCATATTTTCATTATTACGCCATGTGAAAACCATTTTCTATCTGCTGACTATTTATATTAATTATTTTATCATATTTATATCATTCTATTACACGTTTATTAGTAACTTTTTCATTGGAAATTTCAAAGATGTATATAAATATATACGGTAGCCAATATTGCTAAAATCAAAGTAATAATCATGAAGAAAATGTTTGTGAATCGTATTTATGATGGCGACTTCCACGGGCAGTCAATCGCCAAAAAACACAAGGTTCTCAAAAGATTTTTCACATCTGTAGAACCTTGCACAGCTTGTTGCATCGTTCATTTTGGTAAAAGAATTGTTAAAGCTTACTCAATAAATCATTGTGCTAGGGTGAAAATACTCGAAAACGTCAATTAAACAGTCAGTAGCAGTTACAAATAACCAAAGTTTTTGAATACTTTTTGATCTTAGCACCGTTATTTATTGAGTAAATTTGAATACTCTATTGGAGAAACGGAAATCTTCTAAGAATCTTGTGTTTTTTACGATTGACTATCCACTAAGGTATTCATCAAAACTATGATTTGCAAGCATTTTGTCATTGATAGTATAGTTGACATACTCAACTGATCCATTATGATCTAACAAATGGTGAAGGATAAATCAATAGAAAGTTTATTTATGTGCTGAGTAGACGTCAAGTTCTGCAAAACGGACTACGGTATATCTCTACCGAAATCTCTATAACATTCAGAAAAGAAGTTATAACGCAACGTGTAATAGAATGATGTAAATATGACAAAACCAAGTATTTATCATAAATAAACGAAAAGAAAAAGACTTTCATACGAAAAACTGCGTTTAAACTGAGAAAAAAAACACACAATGACATAATAATAACGCGTTCAAACGCAAATTTTTCCAACTTTTTTTTTCGTCGACAGCTGACGCAAAAAAAAAACAAACTGAATAGCGGTAAGAATGAAAGAGTCATGACTAGATAAGCTGAGAAATTTCTTTCCTTCAGCTTTGTCAATAAGGACCATTATTTGCCTTATCTCACCACTACCTCACGTGAGAAAGAAAAGTCTTTAAAAACAAAATTTCTATCAGTTGTGAAATTTTTATGTCACTGCAAGAATACTTGTAATGTTTTTTGTAACTATTCCTTTGAGACCCTTACTGTGAATCATTACTGAAAAAATCCCTTGAAATTATCAAAGCATGAGACAAAAGATTGACTAGAAAAAAAAATTAAAAAAAAATTCCTTAGAATATTTTATTTCTTTTTGAAAAACAGTACTTCTTCTTTTGTGCGACAAGTTCTGGAAACAAGAATAAAAAAATGGGACAAGAAACATCAAAACAAACCGAGACACTTCCAACACCATACGATATACTTGGAGCAACACAAACTGATAATGATTATAGATTACGTCTAGCATATTATAAACGAATTCATCAATACAAA